TTTGTTTTAATAGGCCGCACCCCGGGCCGGTTTGCATGGGGCGCTCTGGCTGGGCTGGCAGCAGGGTCTGTGTGTGCCCTGGTGGGCAGGCGGGGGCTGCCATCGCGCCATGCTGCCCCACGGGTGCTGCTGCCCTGGGCGCATCCCGGGAGGGGTCTCCTTGGCTGGAAACGTGGGAGCCTGGGCCATGATACGGCTCAGGAAGAGGGGGGTCCAGGCAGGTGCAAGCCTGGTGTTTAGCAGCGTTTGCCTCTGCAGAGCCTGTGGCCTCGCCACAGAGGCCTGAACGCCAGAGCACAGAGAAATGCAAAGCCCATGGTCCTGGCAGCTCAGAGATGGAGCTTCCCAGCACAGCTGCCCCCAGGGCTGTCCTGCCCCACAGGCACCAGTTTCCATGCAGGTGCCTGAGGGGCTGCCCCCTTGCTCCTTTCTGCCAGGCGGAAGGACCCCGGGAAACGCCAGCATCAGCCTCAAGGGTGGAACAAGGCTGCAGCCTGGCACAGCAGGACAGGAGGTCGCGCCCGACCCCCAGCCTCATGACTCTGCTCCCAGTGGGGCAGACCAGCACGGCCCTGAGGAGCCTTCCTTCCCAGGGGAGGGAAGGAGGAAGGTGACCTCAGAGCCTGAGAAAGGCAGTGGGACCAGGACCCCCGCTGGCAGTCAACAGAGCCCCACAGGGAATGGGGACCAGCTCACCACAGGGAGCAGAGTGAGCTGTGAGCCCTCCTCTGCTCTGCCCAGCATGGCTGGGAGTGCCCAGCCCGCAGGAACCCTCCACAGCCCTGGCCCCCCAGCACCGCTCAGTGATGGGGCCAGTGCCAGCCCTGGCCCCCCAGCACTGCTCAATGATGGGGCCGGTGCCAGCCCTGGTCCCCCAGCACCACTCAGTGATGGGGCTGGGGCCAGCACTGGCCCGATGGCACCATTGACCCCAGAGGAGGCTGGGTCCAGTACCATGGCCCCACTGGCCCTGGAAGAGGCTGGGTCTGGCCCCACAGTCACACTGACCCCCAAAGAGGCCAGGACCAGTCCCATAGCACTGATGACCCCAGCGGAGGCTGGGAGCAGCCCCACAGTACTGGTGACCCCAGAGGAGGCCAGGCCCAGCCCCACAGCACCGGTGACCCCAGAGGAGGCCAAGTCCAGCCCCACAGCACCGGTGACCCCAGAGGAGGCCAGGTCCAGCCCCACGGCACCAGTGACCCCAGAGGAGGCCAGGTCCAGCCCCATGGCACCAGTGACCCCAGAGGAGGCCAGCTCCAGCCCCACGGCACCGCTGACTCTGGGGGAGGTGCGGATGCTGGTGGAGCTCTTCTACCTGCCCTACCACCATGGGCCACTGGCGCAGCATCTCCTGGAGCACTTTCGGTGGCTCCAGGCACACAGCCTCAGCGTGGGAGTCCCGGCCATGGCACCCGATGAGGTAAGGCTGGCCTGGGCGCTGCTGCGGGATGGTGCCTGCCATGGTTGCGCTGACACCTGGTCCACCCGCAGGGTACACAGTGGCGCAGCCGAGCCCAGTCCTTCCGGCTGCTCTGTGCTCAGACGTGCCGCCTGCACAGCCGCTTCGTCAGCAGTGCGGGTCGGGCGCTGTTCTACGACCTCCACCCCTACCTCTGGGACATCCGCAACATGCTGCTGGCCGCCAGTGCCTTTGTCCTCTGGCTGGGTACGTGGCTGATGCCAGCCCCGAGCCAGCCCCTGCGGCCCCGTAGCGTGTATTCATACCCTGGCCAAATCCAGCCGTGCTGAAGGGCAGGGTGCCCTGGGCACTGTGGCACACACAGGGCATCCAAAGCTTGTCCTGTGGTGATCCGCTGTTTCCCCCACTAAAGAGGTGAAGGTGTCTGGGACCCTGTCCCAGAGGTCTGGGGTCCCTGTGTCCAGCCGGGGGATGCCGGGGTCTCCCCTGGGAGTGCACCTCCCCTTGACACCTTCCCCACCACCAACCCACGTTCCCTGCTCACCACCTCGCCTCCTTTGCAGATGGCCACCTCCTCCGTGACCCTGAGCCCAAGGGCACCTGGGGAAGCTGCTTTGGCTGTAAGTACCCGTGCTGCCCTGGCTCACCGTCTGGGCAGTGGGGCCCTGGCTGCTGCCCGCTGTCACCTCCAGCCCTGCAGCAGAAGGCGGCACTCGCCATCGGGCTGCCCTTTCCCACGATCCACCTGCCGAGTGGAGTGGGAATGGCTGTGGGAAGGCTGGCACCCCTGCCTGCCCTGGCACCGCGAGGTGGGACAGGGCACGGCTGCTGGGCACAGGGCAGGCGTCAGAGCAGCTCTCTACCATCGCTCAGTCTGGAAGGAATGCCTGTCTCTAGGACATGGTTCCTCAGCACTTTTTAATCCGATGGCCCCTTGGCCTTTCTGGTAGAAGGGATCCATGGGCCACTGGGAGCGGTAACGCCCTGGATGGCAGATGTGAGGTTGGATTTTGAATGCCTCGCCTTGGAAGCCCCTGTTCCTCAGGTTTAGGGCTCTCTGGTTGCCCTGCGGGGCTTGTGACCTCCTACAAGCCAAGAACTGTTACGAGGTGACAGCCCAAGAGAGTCTCCAAGTTTGGTGTGGGACGGGGCCATGTGCCCCATGGGGCAGGTTCCCAGGGGCCCTGCCGCGCTGGCTGGCTGGGCGGCAACGCAGCCGGCTGCTCTCTGCCGGGCCCCAGCTTCCCAGCTGCAGCCAGGATTCGCATCTTTACCTTACACCTTTCCTGGAGGCAGGGTCATTCCTTTCCCATTGCCCTTCCTCAAGCCCCGTGGTGGAGGGTGTGCTGCTGCCCCGATGCGTGGGGCTGGCTTCCCGAGCCCCGGTGACGTCCCGTGCCCGGGCTGCACAGCTGGGGGGCAGACCCCTGGAGCTGTGACCAGCGTGGGTCACGATGCTGCTGTGTGATGGAGGCTGATCTCTGCCTGGCCCAGGAGCTTTTTGCTCACCTCGTGCCTGTCTGTCTCCTGCTGCCTCCAGGGTGCCAGAGCATCACTGCCCCCATCCTGCCAGGGGGGGACGCCGAGCCCTGGGCACGTCGCGGGGGCCTCTTTGGAGAGCTGCAGGTGAGAGCATGCCCATATCTGGGCGGGCTGAAGGAGCCATGGGGAAGCCCAGATCCCAGCTGCTGCTCCTGGCTTGCTGCAAGCGTGGAAAGGCAGAGCTGCCCTGGGCCTCTGCGCCTCGGCTGCGGCTCCTGGGGCTCGGGGGCTCAGTGGGACCCTCCTCTGCTGCTGC